TTGTCCTTTAATTGGAAAAACTCCCCTCCACCCCACGCGGGGACGGAAAAAGGAGGTGTGACAATATATATAACACTCATATATTAGATCACATACTTTACCTTCATGCTTTACTGTCACATGAAATATAGGCAAGCTTTAAATAATATAGGAGTTAAAAGGAATTAGTTAGTAATAGATCCTCATTCGCTAATTATAATCTGCCTGTACATTATAATCTCATCGCTCACTTGCCTTCTCTTAAAAGATTTTTGTAGCCCAGAATTTAGTGAAAGCAGCGGCCCATTTTCAAAAAAAATCAGAAAAGAATCACCAGCTTTACTACCAATAAATAAAATCAGATTTTTAAAAAGTGAATCGCCCAAATGGATTTTCAAAAGACCGCCCATTTTCAGATTTTAAAAATCAAGATACATTTAAGTTCACTTTCTTGCATATAGAAGTATATCTTTTAGAATTATATGAATACCATTTCCTGAAGCAATTGTTGTCATAACACCTCTTTCTACAAACCTTATAAAATATAGACCACTTACATACCTATTTCAGTATTCTTTTAACATATCTCTAACTCGTTTATGAATTCATATTCCTCTTAAAATCTCACATCTCTTTTTATATACCCTCCCTTAGATATATAGTAAGCTGTACTTTTAATAGTATTAAGCATAGTATAAATAACAGATGCCTTAAAATTAGTCTAAGTCCTATGGAACTACCTCAGGTAGATTTTAAAGGGTTCCTAATACATTTCCCTTAAAAGAACAAGAACCCTTATCCATAATCTCACCGGTTAGCAGACCAGTAAAAAATGTAACTTAGTAATTAAATAGGTACCTTAATATACCTTTAAATATTAGGTGACGACTCTCTTTCATCAACAACAGATAAACCACACGTTGAATCCTGTCTTGGCTGGTGCAACAAGAGAGAAAAGCACGAAGGGTGTTGTCGTGCCTTATTTTCTTGAAAAATACCTTATATAGTTGTATCTTACTAGGACTAATAAAACTATATTGCACAAGTTATATATTTTGTCCTATGAAAACTTTACTGAAAAATAAATGCGAATAACTTGAGAATACCGAAAAATCGAGATTGAAAAATATGACTTTTGTTAGTTCTATTTGGTTTATAAATTCGACACAATTGATTTGATTATTAAAAAATGTAATGGGGCGAGATCATTTTCTCCTAGGAATGAAGGGGAAAAAACCAACAATGTTTTTTGACTTTAAACAAGTCACTTGTGGTATGCTCCACTTTACGACCTTATTACGGAGAGAATTAAATTAACGGCAAAGGGCCAAATATACCCCTCTACTTTCAAATATTGTTTACCTGTACTATTGGGCTATCCATACTCCTACCGTCGTACTTTGAAAAAAAATACCCCTATTTTGGAGGGAGTGCCACGTGGCAGCACCAGATTAAAATGACCTATTTCTTTTTTTTACCCAACCCATTTTACAAAAAACCCACAACCTGAACCATATTTTTCAGTTTTTTTAAAGAATTTTCTTTTTGTAAAACTTAAAAAAAAATTGCAAAATATTTTCGTTTTTTTAAACTGAATAGATACTGAAAAGATTTTGCAAAAAAAATTGTAAAAACTGAAAAAAATTGTAACAAAATATTTTTTTTTTGTAAAAACTGTAAAAACATATTTGTAAAAATTGGAATTTTTTTCCAGTTTTTAACAAAATATTTTTGTTTTTTAAAACTGAAAAAAATATTTCCAACAAAATATTTTTGTTTTTGAAAAATGTTTTTTTTTCCAGTTTTTTTAAAGATTTTCTTTTTGTAAAAACTGGAAAAAAAATTGTATAAACTGAATTTTTTTGGTAAAAACAGAAAAAAAATATTTTCGTTTTTTAAAAACTGAAAAAATTATTTTCAACAAAATATTTCCGTTTTTGAAAAAATATTTTTTTTCAGTTTGTTAAAAGAATTTTATTTTGTAAAAACTGGAAAAACAAATTTGTAAAAACAGAAAAAAAATATTTTTTTTAACAAAATATTTTCGTTTTTTAAAAACTGAAATTTTAAAAAAAACTGTAAAAAATGAAAATAGGGTTCGGGTTGTGGGTTTTTTTAAAAACGGGTCGGGTAAAAAAAAGAAATGAGTTGTTTTAATATTGTATTGTCATGTGTCATTTCATCCAAAATAGGGGTATTTTTGTTTCAAAGTATGACAATAGAGATATAGATAATCCAATAGTATGACGGTAAGTGTATATATAACCTAATAGTATAACGAGGAATACAAATAAATAATATTTGAAAGTAGAGAGGTATATTTAGCCTTTGCCGTTAAATTAATCCTTGGTAGATGTAAAACAGATCAAGAGCAAATCTTCTATTATGTCTGGTTGGTTCAATGACGAATATTCACTGCCCAGAATTGGCAACTATTCTGACAATGTCAGTTAGCCCACCTACCGCCCCTTCTATTAGTACTATACTACTAGTATTTTTTTTGATGACAGAGAACGACGAATTATTTTCAAAGCACAGCAAAAAAAAGCCTAGCATAAGGTTGAAAATAATTGCACACATGTCAAAGACTTATTGGCACCTGTCCATTGTCCAAATTTGCAACATGTTCAAAAATCCCCATTTCCAAATCATTTCAATTTATCATAATATGGGGTTTGCATTACCAAATTGTTGGAGCGTGGGCTCGGTTGGATAATACTCCATCTATTTTATTTTATTCTACTTTATTTTATGTGATTGTATTTAATTGTTGAGCCGAGAGTCTTTCGAAAATAGTATTTTTACCCTTAGGAGTAAATATAAAGTTTGCATACACTTTACCCTCCTCAGACTCCACTAGTGAGATTATTAATGGGTTGTTGTTATTGTGATTGTATTTAATTATAAAAATAGTTTTAGAAAGAAATACTTTTTTAAGTAACCAACATGCCAAGACTTTGTTGGCAAAATGTTCAAGATTTCGCGTTCCCAAATCATTTGGTCAATTTATCGTAATATTGAACAGTGTGCTTTAATAGTTTATTTTTATATGTTTGACTGTAAAAAAATTTAAAAATTATATCTTAAGTACTTTATTTTTGTAGAAATATAAATCATTAAAAGTAAAAGAAGAATACTAAAATTAGAATTTTTCTAGATAAACAAATTTGTTCGTTTTCTAGAAAAATAAGAACAATGAAAAAGAAGACTGTTATTATAATAATTTTCCGATTATCACAATTAGTGTTACCCTGGCCATTGCGCAGCACCGTTTCATTTTATGTGAATTTATTTTCTTTTTAGTCTGTTTCAAAAAGAATAATTCCTTTATAAATTTGGAAATAATTTAGTTTAAATTTACAATTCTATTCTTAATGAGAGGCTTTTATAATCACATAAATATTCTGGGTCCTTTTTGACTTGTTTAAGATGACAAATTCCAAAAATATTCATTTTATCTTAAACGTCCTTCCCGATTAAACAGGTTCACGTAAATTGCAAAAGAGGGAGTAATCCTTTTGCTTTGGTTGAAGGTGAACTACAAAGGGGCCACTTTTTTGCTTTTCTTTTTCATTAAGGGGTACATATGCTTTTGATTTTTCCACTCTAGCATATACCCATTTGGCTTTTTCATCTCCTTTGGTCCCTTTAGGCATCCTAATGTTCCTTCGTAGGAAGTAAACCCAGAAAAATTCCAAAGATGCTTCTTTTTCCTTCTTTTTTGAATTAAAGCTTAGGTTAAATGAAGCACAACCCAGAAAACCAAGGCTTCAATTTTTTATTCAAATTACTCTCATCTCTGTATGCTGTATTAATGGTATGTATGTTGACTTCTTTGTCTTATTTTACTTTTCTTTTTTTTTTCTTTCTGCTGATTCATGAATTAAAACTTAATTTATAGTTGTGGGTAATATGTACTGTTTATGCCCCTCTGTGCTTACAGCTCTTGCTGATCATGAGATAAAACTGTTAACAATGAAATTTTGGCCAATTCTGTAATTCATACTCATTTTCTCATGTTTTCTTGGGTAATTAAGTTCAATCTGTCATATGGTGTGTCTTGAGTGACCTTTTAGGGAATTCGCTTAGCTCATTTTATCATAAATTTGTAGGTTTTTTATGTTGGAGATTGTACTGCCTATATAGGGCAGAAACAATGTTTTTTTTTGTATATATAATGTAAACTTTTGAATCCCTTAGACATAAGGGAAGTTTTAATTGGAGTGGCAAAGACAGTTTCAAAATTTGCTTTTCAAATTTTTTGAATCCCCTTTCCTAAATTCCTGGCTCCGCCACTGCTTGCAACTAGCCACAGTTCTGCGGAAGCCAGATTTTTTTTTGACGCCATAAACGTTGAAGCATTTGATTATTGATGTAGCTGTCTTAATCTACAGATTTGAGATGCTTACTTTGCCCCATTGAAGCGGAGAAGCTGTAGATAATGATCTGTTGAAGTTTATACTTTGAGTTTGAACCCAATAAAATTTAACTGAAGCAAGAATGACATCTGCTGTCAATGGTGAATGCCATGGTATTGTTGAGGAGCCTAAGGGTGGTCAAGTGAAGACTCATATACCTCTACATGTTTCGACATCTCATAGGGGACTCATACGTAACGATAATTCTCAGAACCATTCCCAAGGTAACAATCTTGCTATTCCCAAAAGGCTAAGGTTCCTCAACTTTGGTAATTTGGGCTCTCCCTCGGCAAAGTTTCAGCAGATAGCTGATGAAAGAGATGAGTTTTCTCGAACTGTACCTTCTTCTAGCAGCCTTCATCTCCGTCAACGCCTTTCTAGGCTGTTTTCACGGAAAATTGATTGGACCTCTCTTTGCAAAATGTGCAAAGAGTGGTTCAGAAATCCGCTGAATATTGTACTCTTTATCTGGATTGTATGCGTAGCCGTTTCTGGCGCAATTTTATTTCTTGTGATGACAGGGATGTTGAACCATGCCATCCCTAAGAAATCTCAGAGAGATACATGGTTTGAAGTGAATAACCAAATCCTAAATGCACTGTTTACTCTGATGTGTCTGTACCAACACCCACAAAGGCTCTATCACTTTGTTCTTTTAATGCGATGGAGGCCAGAAGATATTTCCAGGCTGAGAAAGATTTACTGCAAACATGGCACTTATAAGCCCCATGAATGGACACACATGATGGTGGTTGTTGGGTTACTTAATCTCAACTGTTTTGCTCAATATGCTCTGTGTGGCCTTAATTTGGGTTACAGGAGGTCAGAAAGACCAGCTATTGGGGTAGGATTATGTATCTCAGTTGCAATTGGTGCACCTGCCATTGCTGGAGTTTACTCTATGCTCAGCCCTCTTGGAAAAGATTATGATACTGAGTTAGATGAGGAAGCACAACTTCAGATGACAGCTGCTGAGAGCAGCGCATCTAGCCAACTGAGAAGAAAATCATTGGAAAGAAGATTTTCTTTTGCATCAGATGAAGGAAGAATTCTTGAAACTAGGCCACAATGGAGTGGAGGCATTCTTGATTTTTGGGATGACATTTCTTTGGCATATCTCTCTCTGTTCTGCAGTTTTTGTGTTTTTGGTTGGAATATGGAGAGACTTGGGTTTGGAAACATGTATGTTCATATTGCAACTTTTCTTCTCTTCTGTATGGCTCCTTTCTGGATCTTCAATTTGGCTGCTGTTAATATTGACAATGATAGTGTCAGGGGGGCGTTAGGACTTACTGGAATTTTCCTTTGTCTATTTGGGTTACTATATGGTGGCTTTTGGAGGATTCAGATGAGAAAACGATACAATTTGCCTCCTTACAATACTTGCTGTGGTAAACCTTCTGTTGCTGATTGTGCACTATGGCTTTTCTGCTGTTGGTGTTCTCTTGCACAGGAAGTAAGGACTGGAAATTCTTATGACATTGTGGAGGATAAATTTTATATGAAACAAGATGAAAGTATAGCTCCATTACCTCGTGAGGATGTGCTATATAGATCCACTCAATGTTCTCCCAACTCCTCTCCACCTTCAATAGTGAAAAATGAGATAATGACACCGCCTGCTCCTTCGATTATACAAAGAGAAGATGTGTAGTACGATCTTTTTTGCAATGTTATGAGAACTTTTCAACTGTAAGCTCGCCTGCGCAAGTTTCATTTTAGCTGTAGGTATGTTGTATTTCTACATTCTAAATATGTTGTACAAGTGCTGGTTGTGATCATCATGTTTCAGATATTTTATTCTCTGTAATATTTCGCAGTACTCTGATTCTTTCACATTTTTTGCCAGCGTTTTCATGCTTCTAGGCGGCACATATAACTTATTTTGATCAGTGAGGCTCACTCTTAATTGGTTGCTCTAAGTGAAAAATCTTTTGACTTAATAAGGCATTCTGACATGAAAATCCCATTCTACAAGAATTTCTACTGATCTATTTTATGATCTGCTATACAAGATTCACTTTCTGATCCCCCTTATGGTGCCCCCTTACTGGAGTTGGGAAGATAATTGGCCTTATTCTTTTCTCAATCCTTATAAGAAGGAGGCTGGTTTAGTGAAAGGTGAAGAGCAATAATGAATATGAGTACTTTTTGAAAGTAGACTTCGCTTGAGAAGATTGTGGCTTGACTTTTACCTTTGATCTGATGATTTATAATTAGTTCCTTTCCTAAAGTACACTACCTACTTTGACTAGCACAGATTGAGAAACTTTTTGAATATTTTCTTATGTCATAACTAATAAAGAAGTATTAAATACTTTGATATGTTGAATTAGTGAGGAACATGTCTCGCAGCATTAAGACAATATAAAGTAGTACTCCTGTTTCATTTTATATGACTGTGTTTGACTGAGTATATATATGTCAATTTGAAGTAATAGTAATAGTTTAAAAGTTAGTTTAACATAGAAAGCGCCATATTGAAGTTAACATTTTAATAGTCAAATAAGTTAAACTCTTAAAAGTTCTGAAAGTTGTATAAAATAATATTATTATTTTTGCAATATCCGAATGGAAGGAGTGTCATATAGCTTGAGTAGAGAGAGTATTAGTATAAGATTGTTAGAGTTGGAATAGAAGGAAAATTTGGGATTTAAAGGGAATGGTCAAGTTATATGGACAGACAAAAAAGCAAAGCAATTAACTAATTTACAACAAAGGGACTACAACATCTCAATTGAGATTTAGCTTTCTTTTTTCTTATCCTTATATGTTAGTTCTCTGAGATGCATAATGTTGCTGATTTGCCATGGCAGCTTCTATTCTTCTACTCTGAGGTTTTGGCTTGTGATTGGTAATGACCTAAGGCCTCATATTTTCCTATGGCTTTTAATTATTAGTATCACTTGAATTTGTGTTATATTTGCCTTTAGTAAGTATGAGTGACTTCTTTAGTGACTTATTGTGCTTTAGCGGATTTTCCTGGACTTAAATAATTTCTTCATTGAAAGAAGTGTCGTTGTCAAAGTGCCAAACTTGCAAATTTTTATCTAAATTGTAGCATACTGAATTTGTTCGAGATTTAGATATGTTCTTGAATCTGCATGAATCTTTTTTTTTTCTTCTGAATCCGTTTTGTATTCTAAATTTTCTTCTGAGGTTCCAATTGAGTTGTCTGAACAGACCAAGCATGATTTAATTTTAAGGAGATGAACTTTGAATAGATTTTTCCACAATGCTTAATAAACAAATCTTGAATATATGAAACCTATTTAATCATAATAGGTATCTGAATAACTAGGGAGAATCTCTTGCTTTAAGTAAATCAAACCTTGCTTAACTCACCATCATGTAATCATCTATTGAGCATTTTCCACCTTTCACATTCAATGCATTTCTTTCCGATTTGTACTTTTTCTGAATTAGAAAATTCATGAGACTTAAAATTTGCAGGGGTTCCATCAATTGGATGGAAAATTAAATTACCCAATCTGCAACCGATTTTTGTTTGCTTATATCTTTTCTTAGCTTCTTTTTGGAAAGATGAAAATTTATCTAGGATGCTCCTTTTATATAAGATTGGAAGAAAGTAGGCCTGAAAACATCGGAATGGACAAAGATGCTTTATGACCAGCTTTTCAGTTTTTTTTAAAGAGATGCTTTATATAACCGATCTCAAGTAGTTTGTAACTGAAGCATAGTCAATTAACTGATTGTCATTATTGATTGGTTGATACTCTTTTTGTTCTCTTAAATTTTGACTTACCCTTAAAGCGTATGGGGTGAAATATCTTTTTACTTAATTTAGAAACAAGACATTTTAAAAGATCATTGGAAGAGTAAACAATTGTTTGAATAGTGTTACCAAAATAGTGAACTATCACCGAAAAGCAGTGCCAAAACTCTTTTCTCTGAGAAGTTGCTGGTAATTGCACATTTGGTATCGGAACAAAATCTATTCTTATTAGCTGAAAGAGGTACAGTGAAGCAAGTCTCTGTAACATCATCAGCGTAGATTGATGAGTAAGCAAAGAGTTGCTGACTTAAATTCAATATTCATAGGAAAGACTCATTACCTAGACTCTGATCCCATGACAAAAACGAAGAGATTAAGAAGTTTTAGCATTGATTTTCTTGACTTTCAACATCATTCGTCAACTTGCTATTGCTTAGGGTCCATTTCTTATATGGAAGCAGGATTAGAAGATCATGTTACTAATCTGGCTGCATTTTGCAGTAACGGAACTTGTCTGATCCATATATATTTATTGCCTTCATACTAATTGCAGACATCCATATTTAATTTGTTGCAGGGTGTTAGCTAATGCTCTATGCCAATTTATTGTTTTAGTGTATGTTGCTGGAATAAATATGGAACATAAGTGGTCGGTGAAACTGTCATGTAGTCGATACAAAAGTTACTCGTGTCAGTGGTCTAACCGTCTAAGTTTCTTCCTTACCTTAAAAATTAATGCGAGGGAGCAGTTTGTTTGAATCTATTGTCTTGCAAGAAAAACATATTAATTCTCCTTTACTTGTTAAGGGGTAGACTATCTCAGAATTACAATGGAATAAAGTTTAAGAATACACATTGAACATGCTAATGATAGCAAAGATTTGTGTTAGGCGTAGTTCTCTGCTCTAAGGAAGTGGTTTGTATGTGGATATTTTTGTTTATTGTTTGTTGTTTGTGATGAAACTCTAAACCTGAGGCCTAAAGATATCAATTAGCACCTAGTTGTATGCTCTTCTCGGCAACAGTAGAAATCATGACTTGGAGTGTGTGGAGATTATGCTGGGAATCAAGAGCATCTTCTTTAGTCTGTTTTCTGGTATATGCTGATATTCCTATTTCTTGATTTCTTTTTTGGTGCTTGAAATGGCTATTTCTGGTCTACAAGCAAACATGCACTTTGATAGTTTTACTTCTAGACAATACCATGACAATGAATAGCGTAAACTTGAAGTTGGCACCTTGCAATAGAAAAAGATGAAACAAATCCAGGGAGGAAGATTGGGCATGGAGCAAGGATGCATAAAAATGGTGCTCACACTTGAGATTACTTCTGAAGTTGTCAAAGCAAAAATGTTGCTTCTTTCGTTAATCAGGTAACATCAAATGATCTTTAAATTGGTTACAATTGTTGGAGAAGAAAAAGCTTAATATTTAAAGGGAATGGTCAAGTAATATGGGAACAGACAAAAAACAAAAAGCATGTCAACTATTTTAACATAAAGGGACTACAACACCTAAATTGAGTTTTAGTTTTCTTTTCTTCTTTGCCTTAAATGTTAGTTCTCTGATATGCAGCTTCTATTCTGTAGTCTGAGGTTGTGACTATTTAATCACTCAAAGCCTCATATTTACCTATGGCTTTGAATTAATAGTATCACTTGAATTTGTGCTGCATTTGCCTTTAATGAGTGAGTGACTTCTTTATCGACTTATTGGGCTGTAAGTAACGAATTCTTCTGGACTTAAATAATTTCTTCATTGAAAGGAGTATCGTTGTCTAAGTGTCAAGCTTTCAATGTTTTATGTAAATTGGAGGATACAGATTTTTTTCTAGATTTAGTTCTTTTCTTGAATCCTGCTGGACCTTTTTCCTATTCTGGACCCTGCTGGATCTTGAAATTTCCAACCGAGTTATCTGAATAGACCAAACTAAGATCTAACTTTAAGGTGATGAACTTTGAGTAGTTTTTTGTATGCTCATTCAAACAAATTTTGAAATTTATGATAAAAACCTATCAGAAATAGGTATCTGAATAACTATGGGGAATCTCTTGCTTCGATTAAATCAGACTGTACTTCTATCCTAACTCACCTCATCATATTCTTTAGAGCATTTTCCACCATTCATTAGTCAATGCATGTCTTTTCGATCTATATCCTTTTGGATTGAAAAAATACATCAAACTTAAAAGTTGTGGGGTTCCAGTCAATTAGGTGGAAAATTTAATTAACAAATCTGCAAATAATTTTTGTCCATTTATATCTTCCTCAACTTCATTTTGGAAAGATGAAGATTTACCTAGGATGTTCCTTGTATGTATGATTGGAACAAGATGGGCCTCAATAGATCCGAATGGATACAAATGTTTTATATTACCGATATCATCTAGTTTAGGACTGAAGCATAGTCGATCAATTGATTGTCGTAGTTGATTGAGTGATTATTCCGTATATGCAAGTATTTTGTTCTCATTAATCACGATAAAAATATTTTATTTATTTGAAAGAAAGAGGAGCTTTTTGAGAATATTCAGCTGGATAACCTAGTCACTAAGAATATTTTACGTAATACTCTTAGTAATTATCTTAAACTTCAATAGTTTTACTTTATTTTGAGAACAAGAAATATTAAAGATTATTAGAAGAGTAAACAATTGCTTGAGTAGTGTCACCAGAACAGTGAACTGTCACTGAAAAGAAAAGCAGTGTCAAAACTACTTTTTCCTGGAAAGCCACTGGTAATTGCAAAGCAAAATAAAGTGTTCTACACCTAGATAATACCATGAGAATGAATGGCCGTAAACTTGAAGTTGGCACCTTTGCAGAAGAAAAAGATGAAACAAATCCAGGGAGGAAGATTAGGCATGGAGCAAGGATGGAGAAAAATGGTGGTCATTACTACTGAAGTTGTCAAAGCAAAGCTGTCAGGTAACAGCAAATGATCTCTAAATCAATTAGTCTTGAGGGCTCTTTTTGTCTCTATAAAGACAGAGTATCTAAATGTGATGGTGGTCAAACTTGATATTACTACTGAAGTTGTCATAGCAAAGCTGTTGCATCTATCATTAATCGGGTAACATCACTTGGTCTCTAGATTGATTATCTTGAGGGTTTTTTTTGTCTTTATAAAGTCAAAGTATCTAAAAAAGAAAGGAGCAATAGTACCCTCTTGACTTGATAGAACAAGAAAATGATTATTGCTCCTTTCTTTTCAAAACCTCCTATAGACTCTCACTGCCCAGGATCACTGTCTGGATACCTCATCACAATCTTAAATGGCAGCTTGAAATTCGATCTCAATGAAGACTTGCACACATATTTGACAAGTGTGGTATTCTTCAATCAAAGCCTATAAACAGAAATTAAACGTATGTGGTTTACACAGAAGCACAACGGAAGCATCGTTACAGTGGGAATATAAGGATTAGTATAAGGCCTCCAACTGCTCCACTGCTTTACCCTAGAAAAATTTGGCTCTAATTTTCAATTATTCTATGCCTATCTCTTTCTCCTCTTTTTTAGTTATTCTGGCTCATGGTCTGTTAATTTGCTGCACCCTTCAAACTTCACTGATTGGCTTCTGAAGTGAATGAAAGGTTCAATACTGGCCAGACAAGTACAAAAGGTACTTTCAACGTTCCACTTACATGGTATAATACTATATAACCAATCAATCCCATCTTGTTTATTTCCAAGTATTATTGTAGTTTTTACAAATTTGGTAGTTGCTGAGTAGTCCTATGAAACTAAATTCTATTGGAGTACTTGGCAATGGGCTGCAGACATCAGCATTCTGTAAAAGCAGAAAATCACTACATTTCAAGCAGCAAATGCTTTTAGGCTTGTTTGTTTCTCAGAATTTCCGTACTTTTCCTCTATTACAGATTAAGAATGGTCTACCATCAGAATTAATATATGGACCTCCATTTTTTTGTGTCCATTATTAGTTTAGTGGAGTTGTTACTCTGCATGGAACTTCTCTTTTCGTGGCTTAATATAGTTTGTTATTCCGTGCGTCAAAGTTACCTTTTTGTCAAAAGATAATACCGTTTGTTATTCTATAATTTTCTGTAGACGTGCCATGCCAGGTGCAGCCAGAAAGTAAACTGACCGATGACACACAACAACGACAATAAACTAAGTGATTCTCACAATCCGGGAAGGGTAAGATGTATACAGCCTTACCCCTACCCTGGAAGGGCAGAGAGGTTGTTTCCGATAGATCCTCGGCGACAGAAAGAATGAAACGAAGTAAAGGCAGTAAGTAGTAACAATAACAAGATAAAAGGAGAAGATTGAAACCAAGATAACAATTATACCCTAGGTAATAATAATATAATCTAAGAATAAAAGATAACATACTAATACTAATGCTATCGAACTGAGAATACAAGGGGAAACGCTCGACTACCTACTAGCCTACTATCTTAATTCTCAACTAGGGGTGTACAAAAGAAACTGACAAACTGCACTAACCTGATAATTCGAGTCAAACCGAGAAAAAAAGCCCGACTATGGTTTGGTTTGGTGTTGGGAAAAAAAATCCGACCATAATTGGTTTGATTTAGTTTTAATTAAAGAAAATCAAACTGAAACCAAACCAACCCGACATTACATATATAGAAATTTTAGATATATTTAATATATAAATATACTTATTATGATGTAATTTATAAATATTTCTTAAATTTTTTCATGATTTTATTTTTTTAAGGTATTATTTCAAGGTTGGACTTAGAACTTTTGAATGTTCCAATAAGTTTTATAGCAATTAATATTAGTAACTTAAATAATGCTAACAAAAGTCCAAATCAAAATCAAATCAATACTAATGCTAACGAAAGACATTCAATTCAATACTACGAACGGTAATGTATTGAATGTCTATTTTTTGTTTTGCAATAATTTAGATAAAAATGCATAACCTATTTTTATTTTTTCTTTAGCATTTAGTCATGTAATTAATATTTCCTTATTCGTCTACTTATTTTAGCATGACTTAGTACTTTTAGATTATATTTATTTTTGTTATGGATTTTTAATTAGCAATATTTTACATAATTTTATTGTCTTTATAATTGAATATTTTAGTATAATACCATGATGTTATTTTCTTGGAAAATACTTAATATAATTGTATCTTACTAGGATTAAAAAAATATTTTGAGCACAAGTTATATGTTTGTTCTACAAAGATTTAATCGGGAAAAAACCCGAAAACCCAAGAAAAATCGAGATTGAAAAATTTGAATTTTATTGGTTTGGTATTTAGTTTTAATAACCCGACACAATTGATTTGGTTTGGTAATTGTAAAATCTGAACCAACCCAACCTATGTAATCAACCTCCAATTGATGTAGGAGCTGAATTGAGATGATGTGTTTATCCACTTCTATGATGTAGTCGTAATCCCATCCTACCTTGTATTTCTGGGTCAGTGGAAAAACTGTAGCCTTCCGACAATGGTAATGTGGTTATGAAATCCCTCGTGACGCAATCCCGTGGTTGCTCCGCTACCGTTAAAGGATCCAAAAGTCATGCCACTCTCGTCATTTTGTTAAGATATTATTACCAGTTGACTCTACAATATCTTGACTTTCTAGACAATGCCCTGGGTAGGGGTGACAAATGGTTAAAAGAAAACAGTTAACCACCCATATTATCCACAAAAAAATGGGTTGGATAATGAACTTTTTAAAAATGAGTTATATATGGATAAGAACCAGATTATCCATTTAGAAAATGGATAATCAATGAGTTTAACTTTTACATTTGTAAAGCCTCAAATGGGGGTTCCTCAAGTTTGGAAGACTGGGAATTTTCCCAAAAGTGATCATTTTCAAGAAGTCATGGATAATATTATCTGCCCATATTATCCGCCGGTTAACCCATTTTCTATCTGTATGAAATGTGGATCGGGTTGGATAACTTATCCGTTTTTTCATTAACCGTTTTCGATCCGAACCATATGCGACCCGCCCTGCTCGTTTGCCACTCTTAGCCCTGGGCAATCATATGGGACTTGGAGCAACAAGGAATACCTGGACGACGTTTTTATTGTTGAGCTGCAGTAAGTAAATTGCGAGGTCGTTTCACCCCATTGTTCCCTCATATCGATAATATGTTCTCATAAGATCTTGCTCCAATCAGACCTAGTTGGTGAGCAGTCCAAAGAAGTGATAACCCTATAGAGCATAGATTTGTTCTCATGGTTTGATAAAATGGAGCATGTTCGAATTTTGGTAATTTTTATGCGAGAAAGGGAGACCACCCTCTCAGCCTCAGTATTCAAGTTCACTTTGGTTATTGCTACATCCTCTCTAAGATAAACGATTTGATTCGGCCACTCCAGACAATAGCACCCTGTCATGATAATTGAATAGGCATCCAGGATTCACAAATCCAAACAAAATTGTAGAGAGAGCGCAGCGGATTACATTTGGCTTTGCCTCCAATATTCGATTCAAGAAGAGTTGTTTTGCCGATTTTCTTCTCTATGTATAAAGTGATCAGTACCAGTGTTGGAAAAATTGTAGTTTCTTTTCAATTGTTTTCCTCTATTTGTTCGTTTCTAGGTGTAATGGCCAATGAGTAATGCACTAGACTAGTCATGTTATGAGTCATCGGATTTGTTTTATCTACTTTTCTACTTATTAATATAACTGATTGAACACAAGAATGTGATTTTGTTGTTCAGCTTTCCACCATATGGACTTTTATATTTCATCAATTGGGACGCTAATGAAAACGTCGCCAGCGCTTATTCAATATCTCTTAGATATTCCACCTTTTGATGTTTTGCTTAGACTGCAATTGTTATATCCTCGCGATTAAATTAATTAATAAGTCGCTGGCAAATTAGCACCTTAACAAAAGAAAAGGTGATATAGATTTGGTTGAAACTTGAAAAACGAGTTTCTAAAGTTTGTTTGAAAAATAATTTTTGGAAGTTGAAGTTGTGTCTCGACATGCATTTTATTTGAAAAAAAATTGAAGTGTTGTGAGTGGAAGTAAATTTTCACCCAAAAATTACACTAAATGAGTTTTTGGGAACTTGGAAAAAAATTGAAAAAACTGGTCATATTTCATGAACATGTTATAAATATATTATATTATGGATGTTCATTTAGTACTCTGTTGTAAATAAGCTTTCTGAA